TTTATCTATTTATTCATGTGAAAATTACGTAGTTCCACGAGGGGTGCAACGGAATCCGTTTTCTAAGCATCTTTTGGATGCTCATCCCACGGCCTAATGTTTGTGTCGTATGACTCTGGAAAGGTCAGAAATGGATTCTACAGGTCAAATTGCACCTATACGCGTGAGTTTGACGTCATCCCGGCTAAAGGAGCTCCTTATTGGCCATGTATTACGCAATACACGAGCGTGCGAGTAAAACCTGATATCCTTGAAAAATTCAAAATAAATATTTCTATTCGCTGTATTCATACGAAACTTTCTACACGAAAGCGCTTGAATACAAAGAATCTTTTACTCATATAGGCTTTTAGAAAATGACAAAAAGTTTTGCAAACATTCAACTTTTTCTCGATATGTCGAACAGAATGTTTGGTCAAGCGGTGAGTATAAATATATGATTGTTTTGATTTGTGTAATGTATGACGGCACTTGACCCCCCGTTCGAAAGGTTATTTCGAGAGGATTTCAATGGTGCATTTTGTTTTAAAGGGGGGTAAATACTCGCCGAGATATTTACATTAGAAACATTGACTCGTAATGTAATGCGAAACCTGCTGTCGTCAAGGGCAGCTGAGAAAGAGTTTTAAATTAATATCCACTTTTGACCCAATGGCTTCATTTTCATGTTGGCTATTTATTCGTATTCCGTGAACACAATTTAAGAATGAGTTTGTGAACGGGCGTAAATGATGAACGAGAAACAAATTTGTGCAGGAAACATTGGGGATATAACCGAGAATTGTCTAGAAGTATAAATTTTTGCATTCAGTTCATATGCCAAAAAGGCAGCACTTTCCTTGCGATAGTAACTCCTAGTTATTGATTTGCACCATTACGTCTCCCGAAAAGGTCTTTTTTTTTAAAAAATTTGTATTCCTGCCTTTTGCACCATTGCACGTATGTCGATATTTTCAGGCCAGTGTGAACGCCTGAGCAGGCGTCTTGTTTCATTTTAGGAATGCGTTGTTCAAAGCCCAGAAAAGTAAGGAATGGACAGATTATTTTCAAATCATATCGCTTCAATGGTACCCAAAGGGCTTCATGTAATTCTGGCTTCAGATTGACAGGATCTGCTGTAAGAACATGTCGTGGAAAAGGTTATTGGGACGGAAAACAAGCCAGATGTAGTAAGTTTTTAATTGTTCACTGCCAGCTAAAATGATTTATTTATACAGTATACAACTCAAAATATTTCCCCCTCACCAGAGAAATATCAGGGGAAAGGTTTTTTGCGTTTAAAATTTAAATTTTAAACAATATTCTTCTGTATACAGCACACTACCTACTTCCTTCCTTCCTTCCTTCCTTCCTTCCTTCCTTCCTTCCTTCCTTCCTTCCTTCCTACCTTCCTTTCTTCCTTCCTTCCTTCCTTCCTTCCTTCCTTCCTTCCTTCCTTGCATTGCTTGCATTGCTTGCTTGCTTGCATTGCTTGCATTGCTCGCATTGCTTGCATTGCTCGCTATTCAGTACAAAAAACTAATACACTTGAACGCTTAAAATTTGAGTCTACGTTACCCTCCACTAAAATACCAAACCTTTTAATTTGTAATCTCCGCTCCCTGACGTCCAAGGTCGACGAACTTGACGCTGTGGTGTCTTTTAACCAAACGGACATGGGCTGCATTACAGAGACTTGGTTATCTCCTGCAATTCCTGACAATTTGGTATCCTTGTCCAATTTCAATCTGTTTAGGAACGATAGACTGGTTTCAAACGGCGGAGGTGTTTGTGCCTACATAAATAGCAATATCTATTGTAGACGAATTGAGGAATTTGAAAACTCTTCGATTGAATCACTGTGGTTATCAGTGAGACCAAAGAAGCTACCCCGCTCTGTCTCGGTTATCTTACTGGCTGTTGTTTACCATTCAACAGCATCCCGCCAAACTGAAAATGTAGAATTGTATTCACACATTCAAACCAATGTGGACTCATTTTTATATTCCCACCCTGAAGCTTTGGTCCTACTTACGGGCGACTTCAATTTTAGAAGCACGGGTCTCGATGCAAACCATCTTAAAAGAATTGCTGGTCTGACGCAGATAGTCAAGGTAGCTACCAGAGCTGATGTAACTTTAGACTGGTGTTTAACCAACTCAAAGGTGGATAATATTTACGAATCAATCCAACTTCCTCCCATTGGAACCAGTGATCATTATACGATTCTTATGAAAGCCCAACCTTCTCCCTCAAAGCCAGACAATTCACATATATGGAAACGCGATCTCAGAGATAGCAGGATACGGCCTTTTTGACGATATATCACTACATTTGACTGGTCTCCTATCTTGGACATACATGACTGTGATACAAAATATGAAAAGTTTAACGATACAATGACTGTGATGATTGAAAAATTCTTTCCCTTGGAACGGATTAAAGTACGAAAGTGTGATAAGCCTTGGATGACGTCATCAATAAAGTCTGCTATTGGGAGACGCCAAAAAGCCTTACACGAAAGCGGGAAAAATTCAGATATTTATAAATATTGGCGAAACAGAGTCCAATCATGCATTAAAGTTGCACGAAAGATCTACTATATGAGGTCAGTTGAGAAATTAAAAAATTCTAACCCGGCAAGATGGTGGAAAGAAGTGAAAGCCATTGGTGGTCTCTCGTCAAAAAATTCTTGGTATTCTCAGCTATTTTCTGATGATGTTCGGAATTGCGAAGAACTGCGAAGAATATAAATTTTTATGAACCATCCTCAGAGATACGAAAAACCAGAATCTGTTGAAACTTGATGCTCAAGAAATATGTCGAAGTATACCTCCCTGTTATCAAACCTACGGTAAAATAATCCGACAATAGCCTACTCAAAGATAAGTCAAAGACTCGTTTGTGCGTGTATGTTACAAATACGAATACTGTATATGTTTGACATTTAGGACATTTAGAGAATGCAGTCCGCATGATAAATTTGATAAATAGCTTTAATTGTGACATTAGCTTTACTGTAATGAAATTACTTTACTGTAATGAAGTACTTTGTGAAATATAATACTGAATCAAACTCTAAGACTATGTAAGTGTTTATAATATATCTGTGGTTGGTACATATGACTATATATGACGTCTGCATATGCATATCAGAACTGAGTGTGATATCAGTGTTTATGCCGTGGTTTATGCCGCTGTTTATTCCGTGGTTTATGGAATTATCTATGACTATGTTCATATTATAAAGTGTGTAAAGTGTCCGAAAAATACTGTTATAAATATTGCTGTTACCCCATTACTTAGTGCATGGAGGCCAAAAAATTATCAGGCTAAACCCGTGATTGTATATACCACCTGATGTCTGATGATACACGCCCTGAGGCTGAAAATTGTTGTACTTTACTACCTGCCAACCTCCTACCCTATTGATCTACAAGGTTTTTTTAATAGATATGACGAACTATTTAACTAAAAGTATTTTCAGAGATAAACCATCGACAGTTTTAAAGTGAGCAATTAGTCTCGGCAGTGGCCACATGTTTACATTGTGATTTGTGACAAAAAGTTACGGTAATTACATTTCAAAATTTTATCAACCTTCACTATAAAATGAGGGTCTTGTCTAGAAGTACACACGAGTGACCATGAGGGTCTTGTCTAGAAGTACACACGAGTGACCACGAGTGACCACGAATGACCACGAGTGACCACGAGTGACCACGAATGACTACGAATGACCACGAGTGACCACCAATGATTTCTGTGTTTAAAAGTCATAAAATAATAATAAAAAACTATTTTAAGGTGGCTCCATAGGGTTTTTGCATTATACTACACTTTTGTATCCAGAAAACTCCTGTTTCCTCCGCTTTACATGACACGAAGACGAAATTTATTGGACACATTGACAATGCTCTCCTGAACATTGCAATTTACTACTTTTGCCCTGAAAGTCCGTTACCATGGTGACAGCGTGCTTTGGATAATTAAGCTCAAAATATGTCTTTTTCCGGCCGTTTTAAAAATTTACTGAAAAATTTGCATAAAAGATCTTTCTCGTTTAATGATTTTTTTCTTCAATTTTAAAAATGGATCGTTTCTTAGATTATTCCCTTCAATAAAATTTTAAGAAAAAAAAGATATTGAGCTTGTTTAGCCGATATTAAGAAATGTGCAAAGTTTTAAAACAATTTACCGAAGGAAAAGGGAGAAATTTAGGTTTAACAGATTTTGGCATTTTTTGCGAGATGTGACGTGTAACCACCCCAACTGTGAAACTCAGACAAAAATCAGGTAAAATTCCAGTTAAAATTTTGATATTTTCAGGTAAAATTTGCGTAATAAAGTAATTATTTGTGTGAAATGATAACCATTTTTGTAAAATATACAGTCAATTTACATCCAATTTGTTTGCGAATTTGCTTTAGAAAACGCCAGAATTGCAGTCCTAGAGCTTCAAAAATGGAACAATTTTCTGGGGGAGGACCCCCAAAGCCCCGTTTTCTCCCGAAACTTAGTATGACAGTGCAAGTCAATCACAAGAAGCTTTATTATAATTATTACACTTTAGGTAAATATTTATTAAAAATTCAAATTTCAAGTAAAATTGTCCGGCAACACCCCCCCCAACTTCAGATGCTTTGCTATGTTCCTGTAGACTGACGTGTACAATAGTCGAAAAACTAAAAAAAATTTCCCGAAGGGACTTTTAAAATGGCCGAAAAAAGACAAATTTTGAGCCTTATCCTAAGCACGCTCTTGCCATGGCAACGGACTTTCGGCACAAAAGTAGCACATTGCAATGTTCAGGAGAGCATTGTGATTGTGTCAAATAAATTTCGTCTTCATGTTATGTAAAGTGAAGAAACAGGCGTTTTCTGGATACTATAGCGCAGTATAATGCAAAAACCTTAGGGAGCCACCTTAAAATAGTTTTTTATTATTGTTTTATGACTTTTAAACACAGAAATCACTCGTGGATATTCGTAGTCATTCGTGGTCATTCGTGGTCATTCGTGGTCACTTTTGGTCAATCGTGGTCATTCGTGGTCACTCGTGTGTACTTTTAGACAAGATCCATTGAAAGCAAATAGAGCTACAGTAAATACCACCGATTATATCAAGCACATTTTTTTCAAAATGTGTTTCGGAAATTTTTGCATTTTCGTCTCCTCTCATGCATGTTGACAGCAATTTTTGGAAATATTCAAGGGAAGACAATTTCACGAACGTTGGCGGGGGGATTTTTTTATCCCATGATACGTATTGGTAAAGTTTGTTTCAGGTTTGCCTTTTAAAGTCAAATGGAAAATATCATGCCCAGAGCACAGCGTAATTCTGTAATCTTATACGTGCAGAGTTTTGACATCACACACTATGTAAACGTAAACAAATATTATATGTACAGACTCCACTATAAATATAATACTTTCATAATAAATTACGGCCAAGAAGTATTACGCGCGGACCATATATTTAGAAGTCTTACGGACCACATTTAGATGTCTTACGGACCACATTTAGAAGTCTTACGGACCGCATTTACAAGTCTTACGGACCAAATTTATAAGTCTTACGGACCACATTTAGAAGCCTTACGGACCGCATTTAGAAGTCTTGCGGACCGCATTTAGAAGTCTTACGGACCGCATTTAGAAGTCTTACGGACCGCATTTAGAAGTCATACGGGCGAGGTCTAACGTTTCCGGGAAATGTTTTCAAGTATTACGGGGATATTTCTAAGTATTGCGAACAGTCAGTACAGTAGCCGATTTACACGCGAAGCATGATGTTTTATACGCGTGTATTCAAGCATTGCAAGAATGCAGATAAGATGTACGCGCGAGAGAAGTTTTACGTATATAATCCTAAAGTAATTTTGTCCAGTATATATGGCGTTCCATATTATGGCGATTTATGAGCTTTGAAAGTCAAGCGAGTTCGTGTATTATCAAATTACGCAATTGTCTGAACAAAAATATAAACTAGCCATACCTTTCGCCTAACACAACTTCGGCCCCTTCAGACGTAGCTTTGTAATAGGCTTGTTCCAATCGCTATCAAAAACACGACTTAGAGTGTCATTTACGAGCCTGTATCTTTAAATCTGCACTTTTATCACGGTATTACATCTTCAAGCAACAAATGTTGGATTGATATTCGTTGTTCATTCTTCAAGACGAAGCGATTTCCGATTCCAGATAAAGATTAAAGAATTCAACGCTTAATTCTCAATTAATACATTCGTTATCTTTTGGTTAGTGTATGCCATCACTTGATATATCGGTATCAATTACAAAAATAGGTACGCTAAGCGTACATGTATCTGCTTATGGTGATTGCACTTTTGCCAAGGCTTCAATCAACACTCAGTAGCTTGTAAAAAAATTTAAGGGACTGATGTTTAACAGTTGACCAGTTAAATAAAGTTAGATTTATAGTATGTCAGATGAAAGAAAAATAAAATGGCTGATATATATTCAACTTGCAGAAACTAATTCCGTCCATAACGTCACAAAGATGATATTCAATTTTATGATGTTCTTGTTGAATCATCTTAATTTTATAATGTTCTTGCAGGGATGGATCCAGCATGATCTGATAGGGGGGGGTACTCTGTCCGCTCTGGTGCCGAGTTGTGTCGGTCATGTGTGCCACCCACCCATCAACTTGCTTCACTATTGCAAAGTCTTGCTTGACTACAGTATTTGAATTGTAATTGTTGTTCACAGTTTGCCTATCATCATATTATTACTCAAATTTCTGTATCTCATTTTGTTCCTAATAATTTTTGTTTATCACGAAAAATAGGACCCCCCTCCTGCACCCCCTCTGGCCAGGGCTAGGGGGGTGCAACCCCCCCCCCCCAAGTAAATCCATCTCTGTGTTCTTGTTAAAACATTTCGGGTTCCAAATCTTCTTGATAGTTCATAATAAACTTTAGCAGGCATGCGAGAACATGGTAGATGCATAGAAGTTGTCAGGATAACAGGTGGTGCCAATATACATTGTTGTTCATTGTTGATTAATTGATTCATTGACATTATTGGCACTCCCCTGAAGGGGCTTTTCAGCGACAAAAATTACAAACACATAAACTTACTGTATTATTACTACATTAGTCCTAATTAATTTTATTGAAACAGATTACTAGCAAACAAGGAAAATTTCACAATAACTGCGACAGTGACATCAACATCAACATCAACAACAACAACAACAACAACAACAACAACAACAACAACAACAACAACAACAACAACAACAACAACAACAACAACAACAACAACAGCGACAGCGACAGCGACAGCGACAGCGACAGCGACAGCGACAGCGACAGCGACAGCGACAGCGACAGCGACAGCGACAGCGACAACGACAACGACAACGACAACGACAACGACAACGACAACGACAACGACAACGACAACGACAACGACAACGACAACGACAACGACAACGACAACAGCGATGATAACACACCAACAGTAGCATCGACAACGCTTATTGATCAACTACTGAAAAACAAGTACTTAATAGCTATCCAGGAATTGCTGGAGAAGTTTATGTCTTAGTTTTAACTTTACATTTTGCAGAGTTTTGGAAGCCTTCTTATAGCATAATTGATACATAACATCAACATTTCTGCTGTTTATAATTGTTTTTAAATATAATCTATTTCCTTTTAGAAAATATCATAGTCAGGGTTGATGGCACACAAACAACTGTTTATGCCTAGTAAATATATCAAATAGGTCATATATTGAAAGTCATATATTCATCAGCAACAAATGATGACAAGTATGGAAATTAGAAGTATAATTGATGCATATAGTTCTTGAATAGAATGATATAATTCAGCATAACAGATCCATGCAATAATATTTTGTCGTGGAAGAAAATCCACTAAACAGAATATTATGTTAGTTTTGTACATTGTGTGCTATATTAAATAAGATCCCATTATGACATATGGTTGTTGTTGATTATAAGACAATATAGTATGGGATAAGTGAAGGGGGATATAAATTGCTTAACTGGTGTTCTTGGCAATGACATTCGGTTGCAGAAATCAGGGTCAATGAAGAAGGGAGCACCCCGTCCAGGATATATAGTTAATAATTATGACTGGTTGCAACTGTTACTATAAGTATTGATATTCCAATCTAAATTGAATCTCTGCTCTTTATGCAGCCACTATTACTTTGCCTTGCTTTAATGAAAGCATTTAATATTATTCAATGCACATACTGCTAAAAAGTGCTTTAAGAGAAATGTTTCCAATATGTGTGACTTAGCTTCTGACTCTGCTAAATTTTTATAAAAATGATCTATCAAAGTCTGAAATGAAAACAGACACCAATTGTCTATAATTATAATCATTGATAAAGAAATTATGTAACCTTACGAAATTATATAGCCTTCTATTGGTTTCATTCAACTAATTTATAATGTTCTGGTTGAAAATGTCTGTAAACCCAAGTTATTACAATACATATTAAAGATGCTGTACAGTTCATAATGTAAACAAGTGATTTGTTTACATTTTGAACTGCTATATTTGTAAAATATGATATCTAACTGAATATCCAACATTTTTTGGTTTGCTATGCTCGTAAATGAATATAAAGTATGCAAAATTTTATATCTGTAGGTTCCGCTTTGTTATGAGCAGAACTGATGTGCAGAATGGACTTTACAGCATTTTTAACATTTTATTACAAAAAATAACATCAACACAAGTTACCTGGAAAAATGATGGAAATGTGTGATTAATAGTTATGGTTGATGAGTAAAACCTTTTGTAGTAGTGCCATTAAACATTGGTTTTGTTGCATCTGCTGTTGTTGGATCATTTGCATTTGCTCATTATGGGCTTGGACCATCTGCATAATCTGTTGCTGCTGTTGTATTTGTTGATGTTGAGCTTGCTGTTGGATCTTTTGGTCTTGTTTTCTTATCTCTAACTCTTGTTCAGCTTTCTCTTTCAAAAAAATTAAAGCACCTTCTGTACTTCTTCTTACTCTGGTTTTCTTGGTTACATCATTACCATCAACTTCTTGTTTTCTCTTTTTTGTTTCTCCCAATCTTTCCAGGGCTTTGTTTCTCACATCTTCTGCAGCAACTTTATCTGCCTTTTCTTTGCTTCCTATGCTTTCTTTCGTAGTTTCCTCTTGATCGGTGAGCTCCTCTATCAATATATCTTTTTCATCCTGCTCGTCCACCTCAATACCGCTTGCAGCTTCTTCTTCACGTCTATTTTTTTTTAACTTGTTCTTAAGTAAAATCCATCTATCTCGAACAGATCTCTTTTCCTTTATATGAAAGACCATATCTTTTGTTGCATTAAGCCTGTCTGCTATTTCGTCCCAAATTCTCCCCCTGTCAGGGCTTCCTTTTCTGTAGTGAAATATATCAGAAGCTAGCATTTCCCTCAGCAGAAAGATGTCATGTTCTTTTGTCCACTCCATCTGAGTGCTGCAATTTTAAGAAACAGATATGTCCATGGATTGATTGATGTGAACAAATATTTTATACCTCAACATGTGCCCTGCATGCCTTGTTTGCATCTTACCTGGAATCTATCCATGCCATACTCTAAAGGTTTTGTGGATAATAAACGTAGATGAAATCTTGCAAGCATGAATCATTTTCAATACTTCCAACCATTTTCCCCTGTGTTAAATAAGATGTAAACAAGGCAGGGTGTACAGCAAGCTGCACTAGATTATCCAAAAGACCATTTAGTTAGTTAGCAAGCCACTTTATAATCAGCAGGAGCAAAGTTACCCGCAGTATGCTATCTCCTAATGATATTTAAATTAAATCAGCGAAAATTATGACCAGTTGCCATGGCTATTTTCGCTAAATATGGAAATCAGAATTTTAAGACTAGAATGTGTATTCCGACGGCAATTTTTACACCCTCGTCTAGGCAACGAATTCTCGCTCAATATTCTAGCTACAATATTCTAGCTCGTACCAAAATGTAGCTGATTGCACCAGCTATCTGGCAATATGCGTAAGCGTAAAATTATTATACCTGTAATATGCGCACAGATATAGTTGAATAAATGTTTATGTTGCATTGTGTGATTCGTTGTCTAAACGAGTACTGAGGGTGTCAAAATTACCGTCGGACAATATAATGTCCGGTTTAGGCACGAGTTTCAACCGCTTATATTAATTCGAAATTTAACGATATTCACCTCTACCGCAGATGGTTTGAATGCTTGTGAAAATGCCTACATTTTAGTGGGAGCTATATTCCTGTAGCTACAATATTGAGCGAGAAAACGTTGTCTAAACGACGGGGTCAAAATCACACAATGTAAACAAAAATTGAAACCAGAATTATAATTAAAAAGACGCTCTATTGAGCGTTAGTCGCTGGGGCTCAGGGCCGTAGCTAAGCATGCACAGTTGGGGGGTGTAGGCCAAAAATTTCCGAATGACGAAAAAATTTCCGAATATTTCACGGAAAATGAAAACGCAATTTACAAACAAAAATACTGATATTTTACGCACAGACATATTACAGAAGCGTGCAGTTCCGTAGGAAGTTCTCAGGGGGTGGCGAGGGCCGAAGGTCCGAGGAAATTTTTAAATTTAGAGTCTCTGAAATGCCATTTCGTGGATTTTGGGGGAAGTTTTGACAGAATTCTGATGGTCAGAAAACAGAGTTTTAGCACGTCGAAATTTACAATTAATTTGCTTACAATTTTTTACAAACTAAATGGGCGAAGGCGTATATGGGTAATATGATTCTTTGCGGTTTGTCATGGGTAATGTAGCCGCTTAAAATTAATCAATTGTCAGTATTTTAAAGATATATTGAGGGCTGCCCCCCTCCCCCCCCCCTCCGTTGCTACGGCCCTGGGAAGTAATAAACCGAAAAACATTTACCGATCTACGATTTGTTAAATGTTATCCATGTAAATACCGTGATTTTGTAAATCAGTTTATGATACTGACAATAGAATTTTATAATATTTTCTCTGTTTAAACAACTAAAATTTTGCTATACTATTACTGCTGTAATTTTCCGAATGACCAACCTGATTTTCCGAATATGTTAATTCTAAAAAAGTCGGGGGGGGGTTAACCACCCCCCCAATACCCCCCTTCGCTACGGCCCTGCTGGGGCTATTGCATATTACGCTGCATGCGATTGAGATTAAGACTGCTATTTGTTTGTTAAGCTTATGTGTTCATATAATAAAATTGTTTTTATCAAAAATTGGATTCATAGAAAAATTAAAACAAAGTTTATCAAACAAGTCCCCGGACTACAGACGATAAACAAATTTGTCTAAGTTTGGTTATATCCAATTCACAACTTTACATAAGTCACATCCCTTAAGGCTGCATTCCGGTTACACGTTTTTCATATGTTGTACGTACACGCACGTAAAAGTTGAATTCGCTTTACATCCTACTTATGAAATAACTAAATTTATAAAAGGACAGCATTCAGTTTTGTGTATGATTTAATGTGTACTTGTTAAGGTTATTTGCACTTATATGAAATTTTAAGCGAATTCAACTTTTACGTGCATGTACGCACCTATGAAAAATGCGTAACTGGAATGCAGCCTTAACTATCATTGTTCTAGTGTACTGAAGCATAGAGATAAGAGTAGAACAAAGATAACTAAGCTTTAGAATTATCTAGCTACATGAATGAATGAATGACTTTTATAGTGTATAGGGCTTATCAAATGCTTAGTTACCTCTGTTCTATTCTATGTGTACATACTGCAAGAACACTAACTAGGCATGAATATTTAAAGTTATGAATTGCATAGCAACAATGTAACTAACTTTGCCAAATTTATCTATTATACAAATTAATATGTTCTGTGTGTTTGAATTGTACAATACCTATTGTGAGATAACAGCTGTCCTGAGAGCTTTTAAAATATCATTTGCCAGCAAGGCAACAAGCTCTATTAAACCCTTGTCCCATTAAGCAGATTCTATTTACATCCAAATAAACAGCAACTTGCGAATATTATTGTTGCAATTTACGAAGTTCCAACTTTGTGAAAATTGTGAACTTTTGTCGTCTATTTCAGGCTTCCAGCCTTCCAAGTTTACTCATATAAGATGACTTTCGGTTTATAAAGTCTGGCTGATGGGAAAACTATTAAGTTTCATCGAAAAAATGAAGAAAATATGCACAAAATCGATGAAATTATTTCCAAATACGCTCCCAAGTAAGCGGCCATCTTGAATCCAGCGACTGAAAGTAATGACGTAATGTTTGACAAAAAAAATGACGTAGGTCATTTTGTGACCAACAATCCGCGATGAAGCCGAAACCTATAGTCGCTGGAGGC